ATTGTCACCGTGTTGGTTGTCCCCGTCTCGTGGGTCTCACAAGGAGGGTTGGAGCAGAGCTGTGACCCTGTCATTGTCACCGTGTTGGTTGTCCCGGTCTCGTGGGTCTCGCAGGGGGGGTTGGAGCAGAGCTGTGACCCTGTCATTGTCACCGTGTTGGTTGTCCCCGTCTCGTGGGTCTCGCAGGGGGGGTTGGAGCACAGCCGTGTCCCCACGGGAGTCTCACAGCTCGTGGTGGTGGCCACAGCGACCACGTTGGTGGCCGTCCCCACCTCAGGCTGCCCCCAGGGCGTTTGGCACGGGGGGGTGACATCCTGCGTTTGGCACGTGGTGACACCGCTGCTGCCACCGCCGTCGGGGGCTGGGGGTGGGCACAGCCGCGCTGTCATCGTCGTCCCCGTGGCCACCGTTTGCTGCGTGGGACAGGGAGGGCCCCCGGGCGTCCCCAGGCGCGATGTCCCCGTGGCCGTGGGGGTGTTGGTGGTCCCCGTCTCGTGGGTCTCGCAGGGGGGGTTGGAACAAGCCCGGGGGGGCTGTGGCACCGTTGTCCCCCCGCCCGTGTCCTCGCAGAGCAGCTGCAGCTGCTGCTGTCCCCCTCCTCCTGTCCCCACGTTGGCCACCAGGCTGGTGGTGGCCGTGTTGGTGGTCCCGGTCTCGTGGGTCTCGCAGGGGGGGTTGGAGCACACCAAGGTGACGGTGCCCGGGGTGGCCTCGGCCGGGGTGGCCTCGCTCAGGTTGCCACCCCCCGAGGTGGCCGCAGGGGGACCCTCGGCCGTTGGGGACGCCAGGATGGACACGGGGAGGTCGTGGACGGGCTGGGCCTCCACCCCGCTGGGGGTGGTGATCAGTGTCACCTGTGTGGGCTGGGACACCGGCTGTGTCCCCACAGAGGGCTCAGGGGACAGTTCTGGGCGTGGAGGTGGCACAGACACACAGAGCCCTCGCCCAGGTATCAAATCTGTGTCACCTCCCCTTTGTTCCACCCCAAACTTCTGTGTCCTCCCCACTCCTGTCACTGTCACATTTGGGGAGTCCCCCAAATAGAGCCAGTGTCCCCAGTGTCCCCTCACCTGCATGGTGATGGTCAGTGTCCCCAGTGTCCCCATTGTCCCCAGTGTCCCCTCACCTGCATGGTGATGGTCGGTGTCCCCAGGCCGCCCCCGGCCGCCGTGGCCGTGATGGCCGCAGGGTTCAGGACCTGGCTCGAGAGGGTGGCGATTGTCCCCAGGGTGGTGATGGGGGTGGCCAGCGAGGCCGTGGCGCTGTGGCCACCTGCACCCCCCGCCAGGCTGGTGGACACTGTCCCTGTCACCGTCCCCAGCGTGGTCACACCTGCGAGGGACACAAGGGCAGTGAGTGACCACAGAGTGACCACAATGACCCCAAAGTTACCCCAGAGTGACCCCAAAGTGACCACCTCAGTGACCCAGAGATGACCCCTGGGTGGCCCAATGACCCCCCCAAGAACCCCCCCAGTGACCAGTGGTGCCCTTGACCACCAGTGGTCACTCCAGTGACCACCCCAGTGACCCGGAGATGACCCTTGACCACAAGTGACCACCCCAGTGACCACCCCAATGACCCCACGGTCACCCCAGTGACCCAGAGGTGACCCAATGACCCCCAGAGTGACCCCACTCACCGGTGGTGCCCTTGACCACCAGGGTGGTCACCGTGGGCTTGACGGCCGAGACGGTGACAGGAGTGACCAGCCGGACCCCCCCCATGGGCACTGTCCTCAGGATGGTCCCCGGCTGTCCTGGGGCCCCCTTCAGCACCACCTGAGGGGACACGGGGACACCGATGGCACCTGGGGACCCTCGGGGGCTGGGACCCCTCGGCTGGCCCCCACCGGGGTCCCCAGTGTCACCAAACCCTTGTGTGACCCCACCCCGGTGTCCCCAATGTCCCCATGTGACCCCTCCCCTGTCACCTCCTGTCCCAAGCGTCGTCCCCGAACTCCTCCCCCCATCTCAGGTGTGCCCAGGTGTCCCCTGACCTGTGTCACGCCCTGCTGGCCGTGTCCCCCGCCCAGTTTGGGGACAGCCGTGATGATCTTGGCGGGGGTCCCGGTGCCCGAGGTCATCACCTTGGTGGTGATGATGGTGATGGGGGACTTGATCCCGGGGCTGCTGGTGACACCTGGGGGGACACGGGGTGACAGGGACGGGGTGGGGTCAGCAGAGTGACAGCGACAGAGTGGGGACACAGGGGGACACGGGGGTCACCTCCTGTCACTCACTGGTGGCCCCTGACTGGGTGGTGATGGGGGATTTGGGGGGGGTCTCAGGGAGGTCGGGGATGGTTTGGGGGTCTCAGGTGAATTTGGGGAGGGGTCTCACTCACCGGTAGCCCCCGACTGGGTGATGATGGCCGACATGGGGATGGTTTTGATGATGGTGGTGGTCCCGGGCTTGGTGGTGCTGGGGGACACGCTGCTGATGCCCAGGATGGTGGGGGGCTTGGCGGCCCCCGCCCCCGCCTGGGTGCTGGTCAGGATGGTGGTGGGCTTCCCCTCCCCCGACGTCACCAACTTGAGGATGGTCCCGGCGGGCAGGGGGCCCTTGGTCTGGGGGAGGGGTCAGTGGGGGGAGGGGTCAGTGGGGGGAGGGGT